GAAGTGCCACATCTACACGTTTTTTAAACACCTCCAGGGATGGTGACTCCACCATTTCCCTGGGCAGCCTGTTCCAATGCCTGACTACTCTCTCAGTAGAGAAATTTTTCCTAAGGAAAAATTGCATTTTCCAATTGCAAATTCCAATTACAATTGGAAAAAGCAATTTTTCCAAGTTGCATTCCCCTGATGCAACTTGAGGCCATTGCCTCTTGTCCTGTCACTAGTTACCTGGGACAAGAGACCAACACCTGCCTCACTACAACCTCCTTTCAGGTAGTTGTAGAGAGCAAGAAGATCCCCCCTCAGCCTCCTCTTCTCCAGACTACACAGCCCCAGCTCCCTCAGTTGTTCCTCATCAGACTTGTTCTCCAGACCCCTCACCAGCCTCACTGTCCTGCTGTGGACACGCTCCAGCAACTCCATGTCTTTCTTGTGGTGAGGGGCCCAAAACTGAACACAGCACTCAAGGTGCAGCCTCACCAGGGCCGAGTACAGGGGCACGATCACGTCCCTGCTCCTGCTGGCCACACTATTCCTGATACAAGCCAGGATGCCGCTGGCCTTCTTGGCCACCTGGGCATACTGCTGACTCATATTCAGCTGGCTGTCGACCAGCACCCCCAGGTCCTTTTCTGCCAGGCAGCTTTCCAGCCATTCCTCCCCAGGCCTGTAGCGTTGTGTGGGGTTGTTGTGACCCAAGTGCAGGACCTGGCACTTGGCCTTGTTGAATTTCATACAGTTGGCCTCGGCCCATCGATCCAGCCTGTCCAGGTCCCTCTGCAGAGCCTTCCTATCCTCAAGCAGATCGACACTCTCGCCCAACTTGGTGTCATCTGCAAACTTACTGAGGGAGCACTCAATCACCCCTGATCCAGATCATTGATAAAGATGTTAAACAAGACCAGACCCAAGATTGACCACTGGGGAACACCACTCGTGACCGGCTGCCAGCTGGATTTAACTCCATTCACCACCACCCTCTGCGCTTGGCCATTCAGCCAGTTCTTTATCCAGCGAAGAGTACATCCATCCAAACCATGGGCAGCCAGTTTCTCCAGGTGGATACCGTGGGGAACAGTGTCAAAGGCCTTACTAAAGTCCAGGTAGACAACATCCACAGCCTTTCCTTCATCCACTAGACGGGTCACTTGGTCATAGAAGGAGATCAGGCTGGTCAAGCACGACCTGCCTTCCATGAACCCATGCTGGCTGGGCCTGATCCCCTGGTTGGCCTTCACATGCCCAGTGAGTGCACTCAGGATGACATAAAACTGGCCAAACCTTTTACCTGCAGGTAAGGTCCAATAAATACGGCAAAAACTGTAACTGAACCAAAATCACTGCATTTAGACTGAGTCTCTAGGAAAGTTCTGTCCAGATCTTAAAATTAATTTCTGCTTTTACATGACTGCTGTTGCTCTACGCCACCTATCAGACATGTATTCATTAGTAAAGTAAAATGAACCTGTGTCTAGCAGTTGCATATGTACAGTTGTATGCAATTGCTGAAAATTTCTGATTTTTAAAGAAGATACATGGTTGGAACAACTTTTTCCTGTTCATTGGATATAAAAAGTGACATACCATTAGTACACTTTCCCATGTAAATTGTTTTTGCAGAAAGCCAAACATCATCCTAGTTAGCAACATGACTTCTAACAAAACAAATTAATAAAATGCAGTACCTTTTAAAACAGCTAATGAAAGATGTTTGCAACCAATAACATAGCTTCATACCTTTCTTAGGAGACAACAGAACTACATCTGGATTTTATCCTCATCAACTGACATGAAGGTTAGTCACCTTATCATTTATCTTGTTTTTTAAACAAATCATAGTTTTACCGTTTCCTCAACTGGAAAGTTAAAAGCATATTCCCCACAAAAAGTTTATTTTGTCTGGTGAAAAGGTATACAGGTGACTGCCAACATTCCCCAGTGATCTTTCAGATACAAGTCTGGTAAGCTTGGAAGAGGGGGACTAGACAAAAATGCAGAAGGTAATAATATTTTTACAAATTTAGTCTGACAAATTCATCAAAATTATTTCACCAAATTACAAGCTCACAAATTCTTGGTCATACATGAAACACAGAAATATGAATGAAGTATCCTTAAAAAACATCATCTAAACTGGAAATTGTACGCAACACAGAAGAGGACTAGCAACAGCAGATGTTGATATTGTACAAAAAGGTTGGTGTACACATAACACAAGTTCTGCACATCAACATTCAGGACACACATTTTCAGTTGGCTTTCACAAATTCCTCTCGCTCTACCATCACACTTAAAAGTCCATTTTTTAAAGACATTAAAGTACATTTCCCGAATATGAGTAAGGTTGAGGAGAGTCCTACCTATAGCACTTTCTAGAAAATTTAGAAAGAGGAAGATTAGAGATCTTAAAGCAAAACCATCCACAGATCTGTGACATGCTCACACTCACTAAGATGGCTACTGACAATATACTTTCCACCTTGCGCAGATCATATCACCCTAAGACTACTACAGTGCCCCTTAGCTGGGCAGAGCAGTTTCTTGTTTCCAGCAACAGATTTTTTTATTTTTTTTTTTTAAATCCTTTGAAAGTACTCGTGAGTAGCAGTGACAAAAGCAGCAGTATATGCCAAAATACTTTTCATAATGTGAGTTAAAAATAAAAGCAAAGGCATTAACTGTGAAAATTACTAAAATCTTGAGTTGCTTTTGTGCAAGATGCCGAAAAATGTTAAAATAAAAAAGAGAAGAAAAAATTGTGACAGATATGAGAGTTCGAGACAGAATGCAAAGCTCTAAGAAACACAATCAGACCACTTCCTAAAGATTTCTATTCAGTGTGTTGTAAAGATTCTATCTTAGTGAAGCGTATGTTAAATCAGAGAATAAAATATCAGTCTGGGAAATTTCTTGCCGTTTTCTGTAGCTTGTATTCTTTAGCTGGTGAAGTGAGAAACTGCTTATTCCTATGAAGATGAGATTCCTCTAGCCCATACAGTTCAATAGGGAAAGGTGCAGTTATGGTCCTCTGGTGAGAAAATACTGTCCTTAACATCTCAAGAAAATGTAAGTGCAACTATTACTTCCATAATATCTTTGGGAAAGCAGCATGGACACCAGCCATTTATCTGGATATTGCTGATGCACATGGTTACAAAATTTACGTTTAGTTATACCCTTCCTTGCTTTTTTCTCCTCTTTAAATTTAGGTTCTTTCTATAAACTGTTACTATGAATTTCAATAAGTGCATTTGGTGGCAGAATCCAACGAAACCAACTGATCTTTGAGACAAAACTCTCACTTCCTGCTTCACATACATACGATATTCTTTCAATTGCACATTGTTGTACACTTTGTTGCTTCTAATCTCATTAAACTACTTTGTCTCATTTTTTTTTTTTTAACACAGATATACACTTAGAATTTCCATTTCTTATCATGGAAGCTCTACACACTCTCAGAATAGCATTTGACATAGGATAATGACTATGTCATTGAGTGACACCAGCATATAGTGTTTCTGGAAATATTCGTCTGAGGTACAGCAGGAAGACAAATTCAATCCCATAGTCCATTGCCTGCTAATGACATTTCCTTTAGTTGCACACAAATGCAACACCGCTATAATAAAACTCCACAGATCAGAGTTTTCAGTAATATTATCATTCCAAAATGATTTGAATATCTTATTATCTTGATAACTTGCTGTGTTAGGCAAATGGCTTAACACTATTCATCTAATTCTATAAATTTACTTAAAGTCCATAATTTTTTTAAGCTACTGCTTAAACGCACTACACACAAGGTTCCATGCAGACTCACTCCATGAACATCTATACTGGCATATACATGATTTTTGTTTCTTCCTTACCTCCAGATGCTCTAAAATATAGGGAGGGTTTGTCATGCCAAGCCTCAGCATAGCTCCCTCAGGAATAGCTTCAACCAGCTTCCACAGAAGCGTAGGAAGGTCTGTGCCAATGTCTCTGCCATAAGCCCCTGTGTCTTCACTGGTCAGCCATATCTCACAAACACCCTCTGTGAATAGAAGAAAGAGATAATGAACAAATCTGTTTTAGAGCTGTTTATTTTATCATACAGCTGCTCACTCTTTTTGATGCAGTATTTCACAAGGCTATTATGCAGCCAGACTGGGTATTCAATTGCACGGGGGAGGGAAGGAGGAGGAAGGCTTATCCCATGGGTAGCAGTGGGTTATTAAGTTCATTTTACGAGCATAAGAGTTCTACAACAATGCTGTAAATTATCATTGCTGCGGAGTGATTAATATTCACAGTCAATGACTAATTCTGTGCTGCCCCTACAGCAAGTCAGTCAAGTCTAGTACTCTGCACTATTTTTTGAGCCTAATTCATTAAACACCGCAAACACTACCCAAGCAAACAGTTTGCATTAATGGTTGCTATCAGTAGTTAACTTCTTAACTGGTAAGCTTCCAATAAGCAAAATTAGCTCTAAAGCGCAGTGATTAACACTCCTCCTGGAATAACTATTAAAAACTTGTATTCTTTAAATGATACAATTAGCAATACAACATTAAGGTTGCACTGAAAAGGTTAGTCACCACTGCATGACTGAGCGGTAGTGTTGGAAAACCTGTTTCCTGGCAGTTAATACTTTATTTTCCATCAGTCAGGGCCTTAGGAAGTAGTATATTTGATTTGTATTGTAAAGAGTTGTGACCTTGAACACTGATAATTTGATAATAATATCCTCCTGCTCAAAGAAGGCAAAGATTGCACCACCTTTTAATAATGGTTCAAAGCAATGAGGTTTCACGCAGCCACTTCTATCAGTCTGCCCAGCTTCCACCCTTTTTGCAATGCAATCCACCTCCCCCTCCTCACCACCCCAAAGCAAGAAATAAGCCATCGAAAGCAGGGTGATCGGGAGGAAGACTCCTGTGAATGCCCGTGGGAAAAAATACAATGAACTCAGTGAAGAGTTAAATTTCTAGTACCGATGACGAACCAGTAAAGGACACATCCAAACACTAGAAGGTGCATAACCCAAAGCAGTCTTTGGACCAGCAGAGAATGTATCACAAAATGCAAATGTTTATATTACACATATATACTTAAGATGAGGAAAATAAGCATGTACACAGACTTTAACCACATAAAAAGTAATGAAACTAAAAAACCAGAAGTTTTACAAAAACGTAAACTCAAGACTGCCACACTTCAAGTCACACTATAACAATAAAGGTGGACAACAGGCTATGCTGAGTAGTTCAAAAAAGTTTTTGAGGTCATTTATCATGCAGAACGAAGAATACTTAAAAATTCAAGGCAAACCAAGAAAGTCATCACTTCTTTAGTTTTGCTTCAAGAATAACTTAGTGGGAGAGATGTATGATTCTGTTCCTGTAAGAAGTCTGGTGGAAAGTATTCCTGAAGTACAGCTCTGTGGATATCCAGCTTGCAGTCATAATTTTGTAGTCACATTCGAACTGAGCTCCCCCATGCTGGATCAGGTATGCAGCATTTACTAGCAGCATACATCACACCTTGGATTCCACTGCAGTTGCTAATGTTTTTGGAATTCATCTCACCACAGGCAGTACCACACTACGAAACGTACTCTTGGGTTTGCCGCCTGCCCTGCATTTTTCTGAGATACGTAATTCACTTCTTTTTTCCATATCAGTTACATTTTAAAAATTAGAGAAATGTAAAGGATCCAATGATGGCTAATATCCTGGGGTTTTTTTATATCGGTCTCCAATAGCCATCAGAACGCTGCAAAACAGAGTAATTTACTTGCTGAGTTTCTACTGAAACCGAGTAATTCTCATTTTTAAGCTTTCAATCTAAACAGTTGTATGGCTTTTGTGTTTTGTTGTGAAACCGAGTAATTCTCATTTTTAAGCTTTCAATCTAAACAGTTGTATGGCTTTTGTGTTTGACAGAATACTGCCTCACAGTTACCAGATGAATGTTGAGGAAAAAAAAATAAATCACTGGCTAGGAATGGAAAAAAAACATTCCTGTGGAAAACAACAGAGAGCTTTCCAAGCTGCATAGGTGGGGACCATTAGCCCCATGGTGGGCTGAAACTTCCAATTAAATCACAAGAAGAGGAAGCAGCTGTAACAGTAAATCAGCAACAACAGGAATAACTGTCTCATCTGCTCTCCGATCAGGGTGTTGAACAACAAGCAATGGGAATAATTCATGCTGAGAAAGTCAAGGATGTAGTCTTAATATGGGGGGGGACGGACGGGGATGGACTTCTGCATTTTAGGAGAAAGTTTATGTCCCAGTTTCAGGCAGGCAAAATGCTTCTTAAAATACTGAAAGCTGCTATAAGTGCTAATTATTTACAAATAGGGCAAGTCAACTTTGTACACAGCTGTGTGTGATAGAGGTTTGGTGTCATCTGTCATTAGGCTGTTCATTCCAGTGGTTCGCATCCTGAGTTTAGAGCCTAAACTTACACCAGGGAACAGGAGAAAACAACAGACCTCTCAAACAGTGTTAACAAAGTGAACCAACACATTCTGTTCTCACTCAAGCCCTTTCTCCTCCAAACTCAAGGCCTGTGTACGAACCTATTTAAATCCACTGTCTAATTATGTAAAATATTTTTTCCCTTTCTTTTGTAGCAAACCTCACTAGATCACTCACCATTCTGTCACAATGTAATTCTCGTGCTAATAAAAGCAAGCTGATTTTGTAAACAAGAAAACTGACCCAAACTGCAGAGTTTGGATGTGCAAACTCAGAGCATTTGTCACAGTATTAAGACCAATTATCATTATATTCCAGTAATTAGAAGTCCGTCTTTGGTCACAGCTCGCGGTTTATTTCTCATTCTGCCACCACCACCCAGCACAAAAAAGTCACTTCAGCAGCTGGCTTGTGATCTCTGCGCTGCTGTAACTGGAGATGACCGAGAATGAAAAATGCTGGAAAACGGCTCCAGGTAAATGAAAGGGTTTTTGAGCCTGCTCCTTACTCAACAACTCAATATAAAGAATACTCATTTCAGACTATCTGACATGGGTTTTAACTTCATTTTTGTGGGGCAGTTGTTGTGGGTTTGTGTGGCAAGGTTTTGGTAGCAGGGGGGCTACATGGGTGGCTTCTGTGCGAAGCCGCAAGAAGCTTCCCCCATGTCTGATACAGCCAGTGCCAGCCAGCTCTAAGACAGACCCGCCGCTGGCCAAGGCCAAGTCAATCAGCGACGGGGGGA